AAGTATGTGGCCATGGTCATTGACAGGATATTCCTCTGGATGTTTGTGCTGGTGTGTATACTGGGATCTGTGGGACTCTTTCTTCCTCCTTGGCTGGCTGGAATGATCTAGAATCTCTGCATCAAGGGAAAGAGAACACGGACAGACAGAAGGACGTGTTCCCCCATTCTCTTAACAAAAAAAAAGATTTACCACATATCTTTTTATTTTCTGTTTTTCAAAGGGAATACTTGTCACATTTCTCACTCTTAGGCCGGGTCATCGGAAGGTTACTCGCTAAAAGACAAGATGAAATATCTATCATCGATTTCAGTGGGCATATAAATTCTTTATGAGGGCAAAAGGCCAACAGCAAAAATATCCTTCCATGTCACTCCGTTCTGACATTGAGCTGTATGGCTCAATCAGATACTCTTGTAAAAACAGTGAAAATTTGACTCTAACCCATGAAGAACTATGGATGATGCCACAGACAGACAAAGACTGTGTAAAGTTGAATATATAGCTAACTTTTAACATTCCTTCAGTAATGTCAGTGTTGCAGTATGTGGACTGTGGAACAGATCAATGTACAGTGCTTTCGCCAAATACAAAAAAATACATATGTTCATAAAACAATTGTTTCTTTGAAACCTAACTGCCAGAATTCTTGGCTGGGTACATTCAGGTGTCCTGCTTTGTGCAAGAGTTACTCCACAGGTAAGCAAACATGCAACTTTGCAACTTTCTAACTCTAGCACATCTATTCAGCCATTCTCTTTGCTTTTACTGCAGATCGTTGTCATTCTTTCCATCTGTTTTGCATCTTTTGGTTTATAAAGTAGAGCAGAAACTGATATGGATGATGACAATAAATGTGGCGACGCTGGTAATATTATTATTCTACCTTAGCGTTGAAGATTTTGAGATGAATTTGTTACTCATTAGTTCCAACATTTAATTCCAGCGTCCTCTCCGCTTTCATTATGACCTGACTTTTGTCGCTTCCCATAATGGATCTTTTCAGTATCTACAACAGCTATATAAAAAAAAGATAATTAAAATTTATTAATGAGTACACCACTATTCTGTGAAAAACTATTTCATGCACAGAGCAAAGGTTAATTGTACTGCAGTGTTTAAAATAAGTTGGCAGAGGAGGGTTTCACACTTAACTGCATTTAGTTTTATTCATTCGCTGCTTCCACAGGAGGACACGCTTTTTGGATGTTTTTTTTAAAAATACGTTACAGAAATTAATCTCACGTGTCCCTCTGTCCTCAAAGAATAGCTAAAGCAGATGCTATATTTAGGAGCACTTATAAAATTTGCAAGAAGTAAAGCAATCATTAAATAATTATGGGCCTTAACAGAACTGTACAGCTGACCGGACAGATTTTTTTTGCATTAAATAATTATTTCATTGTTTATTTTAGTTCAAAAGCACATCTCTGTACATTTTGCACACACATTTCTAGTTTAGATGCTTCACTTTAGTTTCAGTTCAAGTCCATGTAGTTCTTTAACACCCTCACACTCTTTGTTGCGTTTATTTTTTGATTTCTTTGCCTTTGTGCCAAATTCACCCTCACCTTTGTCGTGAAATCCTCGTTTAAAATGTTTTGTGCGTGTGTGAGATGTTTTTGAAAGCCTTGTTTGATTTCTTTATGTCACATAAACAGTTATAGGCACATGTCTACTTATATTAATTTCATGTGAAATAAAATAAAGCTAAATGGAAAGCATCTAGATTAGGTATGTGAATCTATGAAAAGGCTTTTTTAATATTTCTATTTTAGAAATTTGAACTGTTGGCCTAAATAACTTAAAGAAGTGGAAATGAAACAAAAACAAAACAAAACTGATGAAACATGAGGAACAGAACAAACGTGTATCACTGAATTGTGTGTGAAAAGAAAAAGTATTCAATTACTCCACTTTAATCCTGTGTTCGTACATCAGCACCCTGCAGCTCCACGTGAATAAAACTCCACATCCGATTAGATTTAAAAGCATGTAATGTTACACCTGAATACCCAAAGTAATGACCTCAATTTTGACCTCAACAAACAAACTATTGCATTTCCACTTGCTCAGCAGACGACTAACCACTGATCATTATGTAAATTCACAGACAAGAGAAAACAGCAATTTAGCACAATATGGAAACACTGCACTTTGAACAAGGTGAAATAGCTGCCGTGCTCCCTGTTTATTCGTACGTTTCAGCACAAACTCTGGAGAAAAAAAGGTGGCGATAGCCTGAAATACAAATGAGTACTCTGGCTTTGTTGCAACATCAAAAATGTAGCATATGATAAACATGAGTTTAAATCTTTTGTCTGCATTCAAAGATTTATATATGAACGGATATTAATTTCCATTTATCCCACCAGTTTTCCAAGGATACACAATACCACAGCATATTGTTATTATAATTCTAAAATGAAATGAGCGTGGTCTTTATGAAACCACAAGCTAATTTTCATTAAATGATAAGCCATGCCTTTTCAGCACAGATCTCATGCATAATTTCAGCATTAAATACTTGTAGAAAAGCAAATGGCAAAACTCCATAAAGCTCCTTTGTGTTGGCTTCCTCAAGGAAGCAATGCCAAATGCCATGCAAGTACACAGTGTTATTAATTACAGCTAAATGTCATGTTATTGAATTTACCTTTATGAAAAATTGACCTTCAATGCTAATTTCAATTAAGTGATTGTCTTCTGAGATACATATGCCCCTGCTTGGATAATTAATGTAGACATTTTGATTTCAAAATGTTGGTTATTTCCTGCAAAGAAGATGAACTTAATGATAGCTGCTTCCTTATTAATACTAATCTATATATAATGGGTATGGCATGGTGTGGGAACTGTCCTTAAAAAGTCTGTGAAAATTGGACAAGCAAAGGAAAAGAGAAGAACTGTGAGGCCTAAAAGCTATCGATGAAAGTCCTAGGTAAAATCCAGCAAAGACTAGACACAGGAACCGAAAGATGCATCTGGACGGTTGACTGTACGCTGAAGCCTCAGCAGAAATGGTCTCAGCGGAAGAGTGGCTGTCAAGAAGCCATTCTTAAGCAAGGGAAACAGGGAGAAAAGGCTGAGCTATGCCACATTGCACAAGAACTGAACTGAAAATCAATGACAGCGCAAGGGAATGTAGTGGGGTAAATCCAAAATAGAATTTTTCTGCTTCAAATTGCTGTCAATATGCAGGATGTTAGGAGAGACGCATAACAGTGAGTATCTACAGTCATTTGCATTGCATGGTGGATGCTCTATCATGGTCGGGGGCTGCATTTCAGCCAGTGGAGTTGGATTTTGTCAAGATTGAATTGGAATTTAGAATGAAGAAAACTGCTGTCAAAAAAAACATGCAAAAATCATGGAAATCATCTGATTGGTTTCATTTTTCAGTATTACAATCATCCCAAACACACTAGTAGTGTATTAAAAGCATACCTGGACTGAAAAACATACAGTGGAATAATATCAGCAATAGATTTGGCCTCCCCAGAGATCACACCTTGACATTACTAAAGCAGTGTGGGATCATCTACACAGAGACATCCAAAGAAAAGCCTTGAATGTCCTTCAAGATGCCTGGAGGGCATTCAAGGCTCTTTTCCAGAAGACCGCTAAAAGACATTACAAAAAGTTTACCTAAGAATTCAGACTGCGTCGGACAGTAAAGGTGGTCATACCAAATATTGTCCTTCAAGCTTATTAAAATTGTACAAACTCTGTTTTTGCCTTGTATATTGTATTTCCATTTGTGTTTGCATGTTTTAGTATTTTGCTGTGTGCCATTTTTTCTAGCAAATATATGTAAAAATGAATAATGTCAGTCAGCTTTGCTTTTACCAGGAAATATATTTTCTGATCTGAAACCAAAATTGAACTCTCTCAGCAGAACTCCAGAAGTTTTATGTCTGGTAAACAGCAGGCTCCTTCAATCACCTCATTCAGCCCCACAGTGAAATACTATCCCTGCAGTGAACACAAAGGTGCTTCTCAGTGACAGGGACAAAGAGACGGGTCAGGACTGAAGGTGGTGTGAATGCATTAAAATCCAGAACAGTCCTAGAAGAAGAAGAGTCTCCAGAGTCCAGCAACCTGAAACTGGGATGAAGGTTCACCTTTCAACATGACACTGAAATGAAGTCCAAGTGTGGTTTCAGCACAATGCTGCCACTTGAGTGGCCCAACCAAAGACGAGACTTAACGTCAGTATGCCACCTGCAGATGGCAGCTCAAGGATGGTTCCCATCCAGACTGACAGAGTTTAAATGGATGTTTCAGGAGAATGGGACAGAGTCCTCACATCCCATCCAAAGCTAAAATTGATTTAGCAAGAAGACTCAGTTCTGAGACAATATTCCAAATACCTTCGTGTGAGTCACTGATGTGTTATTAAGTGTAAACTGATGGAAAAACATGTCAATTTCATGCATCATGCTAAATTGTAAAAAGAAAACTTGTTAACTGTTAATTGGTAATAAGTGTGCATACAAGGTAGATAGCAAGGCCTTCAATGTATAGAACAGAGTGCCGCATATGTGAAGAGTCATGTTTTCATGATTACAGTGTATTTGTGTCAGATGAGAATATTTTGTATTTAAACAGTATGCATTAAGTGCTTTGGGAGTCACTCGTGCTTCTCTGGGAGCATTAAAAGCATCCTAGAGAGATTTTCACAAAGTCACTTTCATCTCAAGTAAAACTCACGATTCAAAAACTAGTATATTGAGCCAAAATCTTCACAAGGGAACAGCATCTGCATCCAAGATTCAATGCCAACTGGCTGCGCCTGTTAGGGAAGCAGTCAGAACATCACTGGCAAACTCAGCCATTAAAGCATTTCTATAATGACTGTAAACCCGAGCAGGAAGAACTCTACCTTTAAAGTAACCTGAATGAATACAATGCAGGTTTCATGGTCATGTTTAGACGTAAAACTTACAAAGATAAAGTCAGACAGATTACCATAAACACTGCGGTCAGACAGTGGCTTTTATATCGAAGCAGTTTTGACTATTTACTTAATACTGGAAGTCCTATTTCATTTCCTCCGTGTTAATGAAACAAATCAGCCTCAAGCTGGAGGGTCAGCTGGAGGTGAGACCACAGGTTGGAGCCCAGCTCTGGGGCTTTAAGATCAGCCAGAGCAGGTGCAGGGGTCTCTAGCCCTTGGCAGGATTTTACTTGCACCTTTTCAAAGCCTATTAGCTCAGGAACACCACTAAGTGTAAAAACTGGAACACTGAGACAGTTAGCATGACTTTAATAATCTATTCTGTGAGTTCAGACACGAAATAGTTTGCTAGATAACTGAATCAGTTCACAGTTTTCAGCAATATTCATCACAAAGAAAGTGAGACATTTGTATTCATGCGTGAGGTTCACTGTAAGAGACTGAACCAGATATCTGATAATAACCTTATACTTTTATAACGTTGGCCTGGTTTTTTTTTTAATCTGTAAGATGTGTGCCAATAAACCTGTCTGTGCTAGAATGACATCCACCTGCACCATATGTCTTTATTTCCTACCCTGTATATGACTGTACATAAGAAAATATTTACAATATTTGTGACAGTGATTGTGAAACCTAATGAATAGGGCATAAAAACACACACTTTTCTCAGGAGTATTAAACAAAAACATTAGAAAGCTCAGCTGACCTACATGTTCAGAGTAACACTCTTTTAAAAAGTTAAAAGCAAGTAAAAATGAGCAGAGTAATGTGTTACCTATATAATACGAACACAAGTAACATACAGTAATAGAAGTAATTTCACCTCACATAATTGTGAGGCTCCGCGAAGTGCAGTTAAAAACTGCCCCAGCAAATTCTTATGGCACGAGTGTCTGTGGGAGTGTGTGGTGCACTCATACACCCAACCATGCAGACAGCACACCCACAGTAGGACACGCAGTGAGTCTGCCTCTAGCTGGGCACTGACTGGACCCTCATAAATGGGGTAAAGCGTGAAGCACAGACCCTCAAGGGATCCTATTAAATCAACACACATAGTGCATTTAGCCCATGATCAGCGAATTCAGCGTCACCCCTGCAGTCATCAGCAGTCAAAGTGCTGTCACTCAACAGACCGAGGTGCAAGCGGGGGCTTCCCTCAGGGTACGGAGAGAAGAAGGTTTAGGAGTTCTGCCTCTGTGGCTTTCCCGCCTTCTCCAGTAGACCCCCGTGCACAGGCTTACACTGTATCTCACCGCAGCTGTTACTGCTTTAGCGTGGTTGTACAATCTGTCTTCCTTCAGGGACGATATGATTGCTCACCAGTTCATCTAGTTGTCTGTCATGGTCTCCGACTCACACTAAACCTCACTGGACTCATTTGAGATGTTAAATGGAGGTGTTTAGAAATTGAAGTAATAGCGTTATTATGCCTCGCCACATCAGTTTTGAAGTCGCTTATAAAAGGACGAAGGCCTGATCTACAGTTGCCCAGCACCACGACTGCAACCTTTTACTTCACGTAGCCACCACCCAACCCCACAGACAATGTGTGTCAGACTTTATGAGCAGGCAGGCTGCTCTCCAAATTCATTATTTAACAGAAAGGTTACGATTGCAACTTCAAAGATGGTGTGTACGAGCCGTAAGAGGCGTGGGCGTAACTTCAAAACTCTGCAAAGGTCTTCCAACTCCTGAGGATGTAATTTTAAAAGTATGAAAGTTCAAGTATACAGCACCAACCACTGGAGCGGTGCTCGGCCAGAGCGATCGAAACCTCTGCCAGAGAAGCCTAACAATGGGAGCACATTACAAATTCTGTTACACAGTCCATTCAGTTTACAGTGGAGCTCAGGTGTGCGCGGTTAAGAACAAAGGAAGGCACACAATAGGTTCTCCAAACAAGCTATATATTTTTCTTTCTTCAGTTCGGGTAAAGAAAAATACAGCTAGGAAAACAAAAGTTCATTAAAAATGAAAAATATTCTTGAACATTATTGAGACCTGTGCAGCTGAAAATCAAAAAAACATCAATGCTGAGCGGATAATGCGCCAGCGCTTAAAAATAAATGAAGAGCAGCGGATTCACTCTGCATCAAGAGACGGCGGTGAGAAACGGCTGGAAAAAAAACAAGAGTCTTCAAATACAGTGTAGCAAAAAAAAAAAAAAACCTGACATAAGGGCGGGAGCAAAAGTTCATTTCAGGCTCACGGTGCTTTCCTTTATCCTCCATGTCTTTGAGAGACAACTGAGCTCAGAACTCAGTCATCTTCTTGTGTGTGTCGGCCTTCTTGTGCTCTCTCTGGATGGACAGCTCCTGGGCTTTCTGCTGGACCAACAGCCGGCGGGCTGCTGACAGTTTCTCCTCCAACTGCTTCACTATGGATGGGTCCCTTTGCACACATAAAAATAAATAAATAAAAACCCAGACAGATTAGGAATTGAGACAAGATGATGAGTCAAACTGAATTTAGCTGCGTTGGCCACAGAACCATGTGTCTAACCTCGCAACTTCACACCTTATTTACATTTTCGCGCAACTCCCACAGTCCTTCTTTGTGAACTCACATTAATTGCCACTTTAACTGTCAGGAACATTATAGCAACTCAAGTTCCACATGCTTCATATCTCACAATAGACTGTTGTATTGTGTAAGCAGAGCAATATATGCAATGGTTTCTAATGTGACAGCAGCTGCTGAGGCTCTGTGGAGAAACAATTGGCTAAGGTTGCAGTACAGCTAATGAAGACTGTGCACTGACCCCAGTACTGACCTGCCTGCCTGTCTGCTGAGTGACTCGCTCAGCTTCTGGATCTCCCTCTCGGTCTGGGACACCCTCTCGGCAGCCTGGAACAGCCTCACGTTCAGACTCCTCTTGGTGCTTTTTCCTCCCCGGTAAGCCTCCACTCCGGTTGCCGCTGATGGCGCAACAGCACCCCCCTCGGGAGGATGAGCGGTCTTGCCTCCAAGCTTGTGGTTGAGAAAGTCAAAAACGGTCTGGCCCCCTCTGGTAGCGACCCGAGGCTTTCTTCGCCGCTTTGGGCGACCTGTTTGTGCGCCGTCCTTGGCAGCCTTGCTCTGGGTGCGTCTCTGGGTCAACTCAGCACACTGATCCAGAGACTTTCCTTTGGGCAGTACCACCGCCGTTACTGGCTCCACCCTGCCCTCCTGGAGCTTTCCCAAGCCTGAAAACATAAAAGACAGTGAGTGAAGAAGAACACAGTGTAATGCGCTTCTTACATCTGTATACATAGATTTTTATTAGGATTCACTGTGCAGTGAAAATGCATTTGTATTCATTCTAAATATGTTAACTAAGACACCAGTTAGCCAGTATGTAACTTAATGTTAGTTTAGTAGTTTGACTGTAATTCTCAATGTCAGACCTAAAAATGATAGAGAGTGTGACAGTGAAAACCAGAAGATAGATGGATGGATGGATGGATGGATGGATGGATGGATGGATGGATGGATGGATGGAAAGATAGATAGATAGATAGATAGATAGACAGACACACTGCCATTATAAATAATTTTATTTATAATTTTATATAGGTTATTTCTCCTCCTTTCAACAACTGAATATTAGACTGGAAGAACCAAAAGATACTGGGAACATTTTTGTTTTTTGTCTTTCATTCCTTTAATAATAATTAATCAATGTTATTTAATTAGTTATCTCTATTTTTGGTACTTGCTCTCCCTCTTTTGTATGACAAAAGTAGGAAGAAAATCATGGAAGAGGCTGTTTGTAATATCTAAGCTTTTCCCTAATAAACAACCCACCCCTTCCACACAAACCAAAAATCAAAGTAGGTCTGATTGGAAATCTTCAACTCAAACTTGAAGACCAATCTATGTCTTTTAAATGTGCTATACAAAAACATCTGACTTGACTTGATTTTATTTTGGATAGACATTTGTCTGGTGTGAATATACCACAAACCACTTTAAGTTAATATGAAAACTTGTTTTGTTAACGTGACAAACATACAATCATGTACAGAGCAATGTGAAAATAAAACTGGACAAAGCACAAATTTAAGCATACACATTTGTGTGTCTATTGTTAGATGACACACTTTTGAGCTGTGATGCATTGTATATGATTTTAAAGTGCACCTTACTGCCCTCTCGCGTCTAACTGCTTCACCCAAACACCACTGTCTTACACTAATCACACACCATCACAACCTCTCCTAATCTTGGTGCTACTTTTTCTTGTTTCTGAAAGTGTCTTAAATGTATGTTTTGTCCTATTTTTAAAACTCAAGAATTAAAAATAAAACAAAATGACTGCAAAGAGTTAGGTTAGCTGATTTTTAAACAGCATGCCAGCAGTGGACATTGTGACTTCTGAGCCTCAGCGCTGTGTTGTGCACTGTTTGCACTCACCTTTTCCATATTCGTAGCCCATTTTGAGCATGAG